ATTCGCCGCCAACTGGAGAACACCCCCATATTGCCTGGAAACAAAAAGTGCCAGGAGTTGATGAATACTAGAGTAGATGAAGGTTCCTAGATGTTTTTGGGGATGTTTTCTGAGACATATCTCACTTTAAGCGAAATCCATCCACTCAGAGTTTCAGAAAATGCATTTTGGCAATATTTTCATAGTAAAAAATCGGAAAAACAGATTTTCCCGGGGCATTGAGTGGAAAACATGCCCCAAGATTTGAAGCACATTACAGTAAGATGCCCCTGAACATTGCTAGCAACTTTATTTGACACTTTTTGGATGGCCAAAAATAACCCATAACCGGGAACAGTCCTGTAACCCTAACCCTAACCCTAACCCTAACCCTAACCCTAACCCTAACCCTAACCCTAACCCTAACCCTAACCCTAACCCTAACCCTAACCCTAACCCTAACCCTAACCCTAACCCTAACCCTAACCCTAACCCTAACCCTAACCCTAACCCTAACCCTAACCCTAACCCTAACCCTAACCCTAACCCTAACCCTAACCCTAACCCTGGGGGTCTTGTAACCCTAACCCTAACCCTAACCCTAACCCAAGGGTCCTACATACAGTCTACAATGCACAGCGGAATTCACAAAATGTTTACTGGAGAACACAGCCAACCCCCTTTGCCTGCACATACGTACTCGAGTCTTTTGTTAGGAGGTCTTGGGGGTCACGACTTGAGAATTGAAAAGGGGCCCTTTTCTTCAGCCAAAAGCAAGGTTACACAAGATTTGCTACCACATCAGCTATGCAAACCATAGGCTACAATCAACTTTCATTAAGTGCCCAACACTGGTTATTCAGCCAGATGTTGAGATATCACCACATTTTCCAATTTTTTACCCCCTGTCGCGTGCAAATTTTGTTTTTCTAAGTTTCTGAAGCCTTTTCCGCACAGATTGCCAATCCGAGAGTACTTCAATTAGAGAATATGATATGGGGCCAACTTTTAATTAGGACGCCAACTCCGGATCGGCACTAAAAAAATCCCAATTTGCACAAGTCCTATAACGTATATATAACATATATGTCCCCTTTATATCAACCCCCCCCCTATTGGCACCCCTGCCCCCCCCCCGTACCCGCACCACCACCCATATGACCCATCACTTGCCCTTGCACACCTAGTCCCCCCCGACTTGCCTAGGTGCGCAACACCCCCCGCCACCACACCCCTCAGAGTCAAGAATTTGAACTGTAGAACACACCCAAAAGCCAAAAAACTCGAAAATTTCTAAGTCCCTAGGGTTCCAGGCAACCCAAAAATAAAACCCAACCCAGGGGGTCTTGTAACCCTAACCCTAACCCTAACCCTAACCCAAGGGTCCTACATACAGTCTACAATGCACAGCGGAATTCACAAAATGTTTACTGGAGAACACAGCCAACCCCCTTTGCCTGCACATACGTACTCGAGTCTTTTGTTAGGAGGTCTTGGGGGTCACGACTTGAGAATTGAAAAGGGGCCCTTTTCTTCAGCCAAAAGCAAGGTTACACAAGATTTGCTACCACATCAGCTATGCAAACCATAGGCTACAATCAACTTTCATTAAGTGCCCAACACTGGTTATTCAGCCAGATGTTGAGATATCACCACATTTTCCAATTTTTTACCCCCTGTCGCGTGCAAATTTTGTTTTTCTAAGTTTCTGAAGCCTTTTCCGCACAGATTGCCAATCCGAGAGTACTTCAATTAGAGAATATGATATGGGGCCAACTTTTAATTAGGACGCCAACTCCGGATCGGCACTAAAAAAATCCCAATTTGCACAAGTCCTATAACGTATATATAACTTATATGTCCCCTTTATATCAACCCCCCCCCCCTATTCGCACCCCTGCCCCCCCCCGTACCCGCACCACCGCCCATATGACCCATCACTTGCCCTTGCACACCTAGTCCTCCCCAACTTGCCTAGGTGCGCAACACCCCCCGCCACTACACCCCTCAGAGTCAAAAATTCGAACTGTAGAACACACCCAAAAGCCAAAAAACTCGAAAATTTCTAAGTCCCTAGGGTTCCAGGCAACAAATTCTCCAAGTCCCACTCCTGGGAACTTATGTGTGCCATAGGCCCTTCATTAGTCATTGAATCTCCCTGGTTCCACTTCCGTAACTATATTATCTTTTGAATCCGCACAATTTTCCTGGGGTGTCCAAGGTGGTACAGATGACATAGTGCATGCAAACGGACATGCACTGCACGCTTTTTGCATGATTTGCTAGTTGACAAACACCCTGTCATATCCATATATTGCAATGCAAAAAGGCATTTGCCATCCTCCACCATCCGGAGGAGCAATGGAAGAAAGGAAAGTATTTGGGCCTCAAAAGGATTTGAACATGTAGCAAATTGAGAGCAAACCAAACTGAGTGACTCGCCGCCAACTGCAGAACACCCCCATATTGCCTGGAAACCAAAAGTGCCAGGAGTTGATAAATACTAGAGTAGATGAAGGTTCCTAGATGTTTCTGGGGATGTTTTCTGAGACATATTGAACTTTAAGCAAAATCCATCCACTCAGAGTTTCAGAAAATGCGTTTTGGTGACATTTTCATAGTCAAAAAGCGGAAAAACAGATTTTCCGGGAGCATTGAGTGGAAAACATGCCCCAAATTTCTATGTACAGTACCGTAAGACGCCCTTGAACATTGCTAGCAACTTTGTTTGACACTTTCCGGACCACCAAAAATAACCCATAACCCGGAACAGTCCTGTAACCCTAAACCCTAACCCTAACCCTAACCCTAACCCTAACCCTAACCCTATGTGTGAGATCCTCTCCTACGCCTACATTTTTCGCATGTCAGTCGTATCCGAGGACAAAACATCGTTGTGAAGGAAGGTTTCGGTAAAGGTGGTTGTATTTGGTAATCGTCGGAGTGTCGGGAACGTGAGTGTGTCGATTTATTGTCGAAAGTTTTGACCGTATTTTGACGTTGTCGTATAAAGGTGATTTCTTTCGCTCGTCAAAGATTCTAGGCGTATAATTGGCGTCGGAATATTATCGATTTCATGCGCAGTTTGAAGCGCAATACTACAGCGTCTCCCGACAAGTGGGCCACAGAGTGTTTCACGTCCCCGTCCTCCGTTCTGAATTCGGTGGCTTTCAGATAGCGTAGGTGGGCGTCGACGAACTCGTCCAGTTTGGCGACCATGTCTTTACCGTTAGCCTTACCGTCGAACTTGATCAGCATCTTAGCCAAGGTGGTTCGGAACTCCTTCTCTGCGGCCGCCTTGCGCTTACGCTCTTTGCTAGCTGCCAAATGGTCCTTGCGGCCAACCTGTACTCCAGCTCAGAGGCCGTCATCTGGGCGGTCCCTCTCCAGGCACTCGAATCGCTGCTGGAGTTGGGCGTTGGTGTTGGCCAGCTGGGCCAGGATTTGGAGGATTGTTGCCTGTCCGTTCTCTTGTCGGGCTGCGGTACGGCTCCTGCGCCGCATGGGGGAGCGGCTTCGGGTCCTTGCCGGGGAGCAGCTGCGGTGGCGGCTTGCTGAGCGACTCCTTTGACGGGGTGGGGAGATGCTCCTGCGACCTCGTCGTCCGCGCCTCTATTGCTCTGGCGTCCGATTCCGGCGTTGGGGGTCCGGGCTTCGACGTCGACGAGGTGAGCGTGAGCTGGAGTGCCTCCTTCCAGGTGGCGACCACGGGGGTGACCCCCTGCGCCTGTGCAAGAGGCGGTTACGCTCTGCGGGGCCGTTGCCTTGGCGTTGGTCGCCGTCAAGCCGTTGCGCCCTTCGATGCGGGTGTTCAAATGGATCAAGCTCTAAGCGGTCATTGTTAACTATCGCATCGCTGACGGCGGTATTAGCACCCGCCTGAGAGTTGCTCATCGTAGGTTGCCGGAGAGATCTTGAAGGGTGGTGCTACCATGTAATAATGCTAGGTCCGTTGCCAGAGGCTAGCTCTGTCTCCGTCTCGATGTATTGAAAGAATTCTAGAGTTTCTACCTCCCGGGGCGCCGCCCGAAGGCTTTTCTTCCCTTCGGGAGTCACCCCAGAGCGTAGGACTCCAATATAATCTATGCTACACGCGCTTCCCCGCACTAAGGTGACACCTGCAGCACCTCATTACAGACGCTCTCGCTTGAGATCTCTTCTTGTGCTATTGAGAGACCGGCAGCTTATTTTTCCCGACACCCGACCGTACCCCCCGGATTCGACAGACCCTCGCTTCTGCCGGCCACCACCACAACGATTTTGACAGTAACACGACGCTCGCGAAAAACCACGAGCGGAGGAAAACCACAAACGAAGCACGGTACCTACCGGCCAGTCAATGAAGAAACGTTCGAGATCATTGTGCAGGTGACGTGGTGTTCGATATGACGATGTTTTGCTTTTTTGGATGGCGTGGAGGTGGAGGTGGAGGTGGCAGCTGTGGAGGCGGTGAATGGGGGGGCGGAACGTTCGGTGTCCTGGGGTCGTTTCTTTGAGGTTGATGCATTGGAGTCCATTTTCGACAAATTCTCGGGGGTGTGGGAGTGTAACGACGGGTGGGTGGCCGGGTTGAGTATACAGTTTCTATAGTTCGTTGTCCCCTTGACAGACTAGTAGTGAGCCGAGGGGGAAGATACGAGAGAGAGGGCGCAACACAGACCGCGCATCTTACGTAAGTCATTTCCTCAACTCCGCTGACTCGACCAAAACTCAGAACTAGCGGGAAATTAGTCTTCGTTCTCATCCCTTGAGAAAAAGCCTTCTTATTTGGAATTTTGAGACCCCCCCCCCCCTCCCCCCCTCCCCCCCCCAATTAGAGACCGTCGTCGCAACAGTCCAAGCAACAACGGCAACTTCCTTCCTGTCACTTGGTTACTCTTCCATAACTCCGCTTCACAACCACGCTCGCCAAAATGTCCCTAACAGAAGAGCCCACGACGACCACCAACACCACCGAAACCGACATCTCCGCCGGCGACGGCCTCCCCAGCGGTATCGGCACCGGGCACTCATCGGCAGAAATGGAACAGCACACCCTTTTCGTGCGCGCGCTGCTGATGCTGATCCTGATGGCGGTGGCGATGAACATCAATGTGTTTTTGCATAAGAAGAAGTTTCATTATGTTGGGGAGACGGCGGTTTATATCTTGTTGGGTCAGTTTCGGTGCGGGTTTGGAAGGGGAAAACTGCAGTCTTGCCAGGAAGAGCCCTGCAGTGGAATGATTTTGGAGCGCATTACTGATGTACTTTTGACTCGATCAGGACTGGTGGTTGCGATGGGATGGACCGCCATCTCCTACGACGAGCAAAACACCGCGATCCAACTATCCAGTAAATTCTTCTACATGGTCCTCCTGCCGCCCATCATCTTCGAGGTACGTTCGCCCCCCTCCCACACAAAAACCCACCCACTGATACCCTCTCCCACAAACAGGGCGGTTTTGCCCTCCAACGTGTCTCCTTCTTTCAAAACATCCTCACAATCATGGTCCTCGCTTTCTTCGGCGCCCTCTACTCCACCTTCGTCACATCCATCCTCATGTACTTCTTTTCCAAACTCATCTCCCCCTGGTCCTTCATCGAGTCCCTCGTCTTTGGATCCCTCATCTCCTCAACGGACCCGGTCACCGTTCTCTCGCTGCTCCCCGCCAACGTCGATCGCAAATTGTACATGCTGATTTTCGGCGAGTCGGCCTTGAACGATGCGGTCTCGATTATCCTGTACCGCTTCTTTACCTCCCTCGCCGACCCGCACATGCGCCTGGGAGCTGGCACATTCCTCCTTGCCGTCTTCGCCTCCGCCGGCGTCTTCCTCGGCTCCGCGATCGTCGGGGTAGCATTCGGCCTGGGATTGGCGAAGATCACGAAACATGTAAAGGTGGACCCGCATGAAGTGAGCACGTATGAGACAACGATGGTGCTCATTTTCGCGTATGTGAGCTACCTGCTGGCGGATCTGTTGAGTTTGACGGGAATCATTAGTGTCTTCTTTACGGGGATTACGATGGCGCATTATGCGTATAATAATTTGGCGCCGGAGAGTGCGAAGAATCTGAAGGTGGGTGGTCTGACGGAGGTTTTGGCATGGCAATGGTTGTTTTGATTTTTTGATGCCTTGCGATTATCGTAGTCGACCTTGCGCATGATCGGATTCATGTGCGAGTGTTTCATCTTCCTGTACTTGGGTCTCGGCCTGTTATCCTTCGGCGGAAAGACGGTCTACAGTCCCATGCTAGTGTTCTTCGCCGCTGTAAGTATCCCATGCATCCCAACCCATATCACCAATATACAAGGCTCACACCCCTCCCACCAGATCTCCATCCTCGTCTCCCGCACCCACATCTTCATCTTCCTCGGCATGACCAACATCGCCGGCAAAAAAGAAGACGCAGTCCCCTTCAACCAACAAGTTCTCATGTGGTTCTCCGGCCTTCGTGGCGCCGTCGCCTTCGCGCTTGGCGTAACCTTCCTCGAGCACCCCGTCTTTGACGAAGATGTCAAAGGCCAGATCTTCGGCACCACCGTCATGGTCGTCGTGCTGACCGTGCTTGTGCTGGGTGGGTTGACACCGAGCATGTTGAAGTGGCTGCATTTGGTTGAGGACACCCATGCGGAGCCGAAGGCGGGGCATCCGACTGTGGGCGCCGTGGCGGGGACGGCGGATACGCCGAGGAGTGCGACGGCGGGTGGGGAGGGAGGGCAGGGGTATGGGATGATTGAGACGCAGAATGAGTTGGATGAGGAAGCGCAGGTGTTGGCGACGCCGTCGAAGCAGAGTGTGATTTTTGCGTGGCTTTATCAGTTGGATGCTAAGTAAGTATTGACAAACTTCGATTTCGGGGCTGGGTTCCCCCACCGATGCTCACAACCTTGAACTTCTACCCGCCCCTCCCCCCCTCCCCCCCCCCCCCCCCCCCCCCCCCAGATACATCCGCCCCCACTTCACAACTCTCTCCGAATCCAACGTCCAAACCCTGCAACAAATCCAGGCCGTCCGCGCCGCTTCGCGCCAAGGCTCTACTGTCAGCTTCCGCGCCCGCAGCCCCTCCAAAAAGGAGGTCGACAACCCGTTCCGCGGAACATCGAGCGACAAGATCGAGCTGCTCAAGTCTGCGAAGAGCGAGGATGTCATGATGGAGGCGGTTAGTTTGAGTGATCCGCCCGCGACGAGGGGGGAGAGCAGCACGGGGCAGGCCGAGGAGGGGGGATTTCAGTGATGCAGATGGGGATTTTTCGTGACTTCTGACTTGTTGGGCTTCTCGTGCGGACTTCTTTGTGTGGTCTGGGACGGGTTGCTGTATGCTAGCAAATATACAAATCGTACTTCCTTTTTTCTCCTATACGAAGGAAGTACTGTCGTGAATTGTGTTTGATACAAAATTGATCTCCGCTCGTCAGAGGATACCGTACGTTGAAATTTACGCATTTCTACAATTTAGCGTTGCTACCTCTATCCCTTCCACACGCCTGACACTCCCTCTTCCCACCGCCACGCCCGACATGCACCGGCGGCCTTGACGGCGGCGGCACAACCGACCGATGAAAATGCACATTCCTCCACACGCCATCCTTCTTATCATATTCCCACACCCTCGTCTCCTGCGACGTAGACACCTGCACGCCCGCCGCACCTTTCGACGCGTCAACGAGCTTTTGGGTCACGCGGATGTAGGTGATAAGGGCGGATGTGCGGTCTGGGGAGAGGATGCGGATGTGGGGGGATGCGATGGTTATTTGTTGAATGGGGGGTGGTTGGGTTGGGAAGGAGACGGTGGTCGTGGGTGGAGATGTTTCGGGCGCGTAGAGAACCTGAGTTGGGCCGTCGGCGGCCGATGTTGGGGCAATGATTGCCTTTTGGCCGCTACCGGGATGGGCAAGGTCAAAGTAGAAGCGGTGGAAATCTAAACCGTGCACCTGGCGAAGCAAACGTGGGTGAGAATCACAAGCAAAGGGAAGCGTTCGGTGGACGTCAAGCGAAGCGAGGTGTTCGGCGGATGGAACGATACCCTGCTGCTCAGCTGCGACAAGGAGCATGGGCTGCTGTTGCGATCTGCAGCCCTGGGCCTCCGGCTTCGCCCCGGCTTCGCCGCACTCAACCATTCCTGCGCCTTTGGCGCAGTGGACATGCTTCGCTCGGAACTCAAGCATCCCTACGCCTACGGCCCAGTTGGGCTCGCCATTGCTTGCATTCTCCTCGCGTCGCTCGGAACCCCGTTCCATATTGAGTTCAACCCTCCACCTCCATCTCCTCCTCCTCCGGTCTCCCTACCTGGTGCTCCCCAGCCTCCGGCTCGAACGCGGTGACATCATGTGCCACAAGTTCGTGATAGGTGTCAAGATCGCCGTCCTGTATCGCGTGCAGAAGCTTGAGGGTAGCGTCGTAGATGACCTTCTCTAGCTTGACGTCTGTGAATATGTGCGGTAGAGGAGGCATGGTGGAGGTTGTGGAGGTTGGAGTGTGGTGAAATGTGTGCGGGCCGGAGGTTTCTGGAGTCCGACGCAATCTTGGGGGTTTCAACTTCCAATTCAGCCGTAGTTTCTGCCGTTTGAAAAAAGGGGCGACAGATAGATGGGGCTCATGCACGTGCTTCCCTTTAACAGTAAGTGAGTAACAAGCCGCTGGGAGAATCCTCGACGAGCGAATAAAATGACAGTCAGTAAGTTCGACGAACACCGGCAATGCGAATGTTCGACCTTGGCGATGCGTCTATTGCGATCAAGAAGGGCATCTGCGCAGATTTTGCCAAGACTTTTCCGAGGTTCAGAATCGAGGAGAACTAGTTATCAACGGCCAAGGACGAATCGCGTACCCAGACAACACTACGATTGGAGTACCTGGACAAGAAATTCCGCTGAGTATTGGACGTGGAGGCATCAAGAAAGTTTTCGAAGACGCCAAAGCCGCCGTACTTCGCAACCGCAATACTTCCGCCAACCAGAGATCCTACAGCCATTCCATTAATTCGTTTATGCTACGAAAAGACGATGCGTGGGGTCTATATGGGTATAAAAGTAGTGCAGAAGGGCCAACCAAGCTCGGCTCTCCAGCTCCCTCATGCATGTTGCGCTCCCAAGACACGCGAAAAGAGTTCGACCCTGCGCAGCATTCCGACTTTTTTCTTGCACGGGGGCCTTGCCTTCCCTCCTCTGGCCCTCGTCCATACGAGGTGGCGTTGCAAGCCAGCGCGCTGTGGACTGTGTGCTTCGGGGAGGCTGGGCATATGTTTGGGATGCAAACTTCTCTATGGTTTCGTCCTTGGCCTATCGCTGACGACTCTTCCGAAAGGAGGTGGAAAGAGGCCCTTGAGATGAGAAGGAACCGGCCTCACTCCCTCACCCAAACGACACAAATGGGTTTCGCGAACTCACTGTCCCATCGACCCCTGACAGCAAGCGGAAAACTAAGCCGTACAACGGACCTCTTCTTCGCTATTGTTCGCCGTTTGCTTCCAAATTGCCTTCTCGGGACGTCAGTCGCCCCTTGTTGCCCATGATTCCTCGCGGACCGACTTTGGACAACAGCTACAGCCTGCCGCCATACCGTGATACCCTGCTGGATGCCGAGACTGCATCAAACAAGGACGCTGAGACTAACGATATGGGTCAAAAGTACAACAATCGGTCGACCTACGATTACTGCGAATTGACGGTCCTGAAGTTCGCAGGAAGCGCGAAGATGTGGCTTTGGAGGAACCTGAAATCGGATTTGAGCACTCTTTCCTCGGGATTGGCTTGCAAATCGAACTAGGAGACTGCAGCCGCCATGTGGAGGAGCATCGATGTAAGGGCTAACCGAGCTCCTACTACGTCTTCCTAGGAGCGATTTGCGTATCGAGGAGAAATCGAAACCGACATCTTCTTCACGCTGTTAAACGAGGTTATTTTGATAACGTGATCACATTTTTCGTCTTGAGCTCTAAGGAGCCTCTTGAAGATGGTGGTTTGGACGTCAAAAGCTGCGTGGAAAACGCGTGGCTGATTTGAGCTCGTTTTGGCTGCTAGTTGGACTTGTCCGGGTCTTTCAAACTTGTCGTCGTCGTCGCAGCAAAAACGAGATCTGTAAATAACCTCTTTGATATGACGCCCGCAGATCCCCTCGTGTTTGGGGAACGTCCGCATGTGCAGCAGAGTGTACGGCTGTGCATGGGCATGTGTTGCGCTGCGCTGCGTAATAGGCGAGATGTGGTGAAATTGCACATGCACGAAGGCGTCCTCGCTACATGTACAGTATGAGTATGTTCAACCCTAATCTCACGAAAAGCCTCAATGTGATCCATAAGCGAAGTGAGAGCAGTTTTATAGAAGCGAAAGTTCGACCATTCTATTCGATCATTCAACCCTAAGACCATTCGATAACAGATATGACCAATATGATCACAAGTCTAACGACAAATGTGTGGTTTTTCTAAATTTCTACAGACAATGGCTGGGCATAATCATCCATCCTGCGGTCTAGGGTCTTCATTTTGGCAGTAGTCGCTTTTGGCAGCACCTCTGTCCACGCAGTTCTCCCGGCACGTTTTGAGCCAGACGATGCCGCCGTTCCTGTCGTTGCAGTAGAACTTGTCGTTGCCGAGCACGTGGCCTGTCGCAGCCATGACGGGGTCGTAGTTCGATCCGGTGGCTATCCAAAACAAGACAAATATGCATTTATCAGGAAACACCTCTTTTCGTTCTCGAGGCAAGAGGGGGACGCCACACGCTGTCTGGGGGTCATCCAACGAGCGAACATACCGATGGCGCGCAAGGTGGATCCGCAATATGTTATACCCGCGATGCAGTTCCTAGCCTCGGCTTGGCTGGCAAAGGCGACGCAGACGACCGCGAGGATGGCAGAGGCGAGCTTCATTGTCGGTGAAAGCGGTGGAAGTGTGAAGGGGCTGGTGTGAGTTGTAAGTTCGATGAGGGGCGGGGGAAGACCGACGGGCATCCCCTCTTTAAATAGCCGAACGTCTCATACCAGCATAACGGCCGCCGCGAGCCTACGACAACGTCCGCTTCTCGTTCCATCATCAGAGGGAGGGTATCAGTTTCATCATTTGCAGCGGGGATTGGGGCAGTGGGGTCTGGAGCGAACCCTTGACGGCGGCAATGGGGCAGTTCAAATCCAATGCGGGCTGAAGTGATGGGCGCTCAAGTTTGGAGCTCGTTCCGCGGGGAGCTCTTTCCGCGGGGAGTACGTGATGAGGCGGGCGTGTATCGTATCATGTAGCGCATATCCAAAATTCATTCCCAGCTTTCTGAAGCGGCCCTGCTAAATGAGCACGCCCGGATATCATATGACATACGTCCCCATTTTCAGCGTGCGTCCTTCAGCGGGCGTCCCCAACCCAACGGGCGTCCTTCGGCGTCTGCGGGCACTTTATTGCAATAAGTCTGAGGACCGGATCGATTCCCACCCCCGCGGGAGTGAGGGATTAACTGCGGACGCTATGGTATTCCGTCTACGTATTGGATGTACTTCATGGGCTTTTTCAGCGATACTCCCACCGGAAGACATGATACCTGTTGGCAGGGAAGATGGCTGTGAACTGCCAGAGGTCCCCCACCCAGCCCAAGATTCGAGAAAGCGCACCGCGTTTTCGTGGGATTCCCCGACTGCCAAGGACCCGCGTGGCTTTACTACATCTATCCGAGTACACCCAGGGAGAAAAAAGCGGCTCAACGGGCGTTAGACAATGGCGGCGGCAGTCTCATCTACGGGACCAGGGCCGATGGCGCGCTTTCTGCTATAAAACAGGGAGAAGGCTGGCCTTACCTCCGTTCCATTTCTCAAACGCCATCCCAACCCCACATAAACCATCATATATCTACAGCCATGAAGCTCACCTCCGCCATCGTTGCCGTCGTCGCCCTCGTCGCCGCCACTGGCCAAGTTGAGGCGAGGAACTGCAAGAAGGGTACCGTATACTGCGGCAAGACGTTGAGGAGCATTGGTATGTTACGAAAGAGGAGGGGGGCCAGGAGGCTTAGCTTCCTATGAGTTTTCTCTGAACAAAACACACGATATTTTAGCCACCGGAAGAAACTACGACCCGGTGATGGCTGCGACAGGCCACACGGACAACAACGACCTGTTTGACTGCACGGACGATGATGGCAACATCCGCTTTGTGATGCACTGCAACAACGGATGTGTTGACTCAAACGCCTGGACTAACGATTGGTGCAAGTGATATTCGGATCCTGTAAATAGAGCAAAGTAGAAATCTTGTCTGAGACGGTAGCAATGTTAATAGAACCATTAAAGAAAAGGGAATACATGTGCTCTGTTTGACCGCCAACTTGCTCCTCCTGCTCTCTCTCTGCCTCTCTCTCTCTCTTCGCAGCCCTCGCGGGATCTTCGCAAATGGTCGGGGAAGGAAGGGTCACCGTCATCGGAGTCCCACCGTCATCGGAGTCCCAGGTTTGCTTCAGCCACAGCTGCATCCTTGCCGATGGCTACTTTCGCCTTTTCCAACAGAGTGCAGGCGGAAACGTAGTATCCCTTTGCCCCACAAAGTCTGCAGATCGCATTCTTCACACGCTCCTCTCGTTCCACACGAGACGGACCTTTTCCCCAACGTCCGCGTCCTTGACCACCACGGGAGCGTTCCTCGTTTAAGTCCTGGGATTCGGCATCATGGGCTTCGACTGTTGGCGTTTCTGATCCCCTTTAATATCAATGATGTGTTCCAGGAGATGTTGCGCTTCAAGCCTTTCAAGTAACGATACCTCTTTATTTGGAAAGGGTCCCAGGAGGGCAACTGGGCTGCAGTTTTGTTGAAGGCGTTGTTATAGGCAATGACGGTCCCTGTCTGCTTCACATCGTCGAGCCGTTCTTGGAGAGTGTCTTCGAAGGCGGGCTGCTCGAGGGCAATTCTGGTTTGGAGCCACGTTCGGGGGTTCTCCTCCTCGGTCAAGGTAAGCCACCAATGGTTCACGAGTCAAGTAAGCCCGCTCTCAACAAGGAGGGTAATGTGGGCCTGAGGCATGTCGGACACTCTGAGGTAGTTGCCCATCTTGTGAATGAACTCCTGGAGCATATGGGGATTGTTGGCAACCCCAGCGTACAGTGCCGTTCATAAAGCAAGGCCGCTGTCAATTTGATTCACCGGCCCCTGGACACGCGCCTGGTATCTAGTGAATCCTCCTCTAGCTGCTATGACTGCCGCTATACGCCGGGGCATGCTCGACACAAGGTTTTCTAGCACATCTGGCTCAATATCCTGAAATGCCTGCTGTGCAATGGCCTCTAGCTGCTCTAAAGTTGCGGGACGTTGTCTATAAATGCGTTTCTTGAGAATGGACCACAGGTTTTCTATCGGGTTCACCGGGCTGATTGCAGGCCAGTTTGCCAGTACCTCAATGCCATGGAGATCAAAATATCCTTCCCTGCGAGTTTTGCGATGGGGTGGAGCGTTATCCTGGGAAGAAACACTCTTAGCGTCACCGCCGATCCAAAAAGGAGAGAAACGAGGTTCACACCTGCATGAAAACAAAATCACGCTGCTCGCCCTGAATATCAGAGTAAAAGGGGATGAGATTCTTGGAGAGATATTCCTGGTATGCTTCCGAGTTGATGCCTCTACATCCAGGCAGAGGCTCAATGCGCGAGAAAGGACCTTTGATGGTGCCCACAAAACATCCCCAAAACATGATTGCTTTGCTTCTTCGTATCCGTGGGTGCATGTTGTTTGGGATGTAGCGGCGACCACGTCGGCGGATCACCCTGGCAGGATGCGCCGCCTCGAGCATCACACTGGTCTCATCACTCCAAATGATGCGGCGCCAGTCCTCCACCGTCCAATCCTCATGCTCCTGTGCCCACGCTAGTTGTTCGCGCTTAAGCTGAAACGACCCCCGATAAGGTTCTTCCCGATCTAGAGAATTACCTTGAATTTACCTGAACGTTTTGGGATTTTTTAATCACTGCAAAACGAGTTATCCGTCATCGCCTTTGTCGTTAATTTGTTACTTAAGCGAAAACGGGCGGATAGAAAAAGTCTTTCAGTTTTGGGACAGAGCTAAGCCGTTAGGGTTCTTCTTGATCCTCTCAAAGGCCTCTTTAAACTGATAGCTTCAGATCCTGTCTAGGATCAACGTAGCCAAAACCCGCCGACATCGGACACGGTGGATTTTGGGGATTTTTTGCTCAAAAGAGGGAAAATCTATGACCGAATTTTGGTTGTTGCATACGGCACAAACCTGATTTGAAACCTAGTTGTTTGTGTGTATTTGCTCAGGGTTTTCCCAAAGTCCAGCCGCAGTAAAGCCCCAGCGACTGGACAACACACACCGCCCCGGGCCTCCTAACCTCGCGGCTCCTGCAACGGGAGAGGCCGCCCCCCTAGTTCCCGACTCCGTTATAGCCGACACAACCCTCCTAGCCGCTGCCCATTTCGAAAACTCCGAAATCAACCCCCGCGCCATGCTTGCGCTGGGTCCCGTCAAACCCTTCAACTACCCCGTTACCATCATGGTATCATCCAGCCGCGCCCCGATACCTACCTCAGCCATGATCGACAACGGTGCCCTGTCCTGCTTCATCGACAGGAACTTTGCCTGCAAACACCGCATCGCCCTAGTCCCGCATCAACGTCCACTGACGATCAAACTCGTTGACGGTCAACCCAGCTCTGCTGGGCCAATCACCCATCACAGCCAACCAGTAGGCATGTGGGTCGACGACCACTTCGAAGAACTCGTCTTCCATGTCACCAAATCACCCCATGCTCCAATCCTCCTTGGTCTCCCCTGGCTCCGCCTCCACGACTTTAACCTTGACTTCAAGAACCTTTCGGTCGGTTTCCGTTGCGACTGCCAGTACCATGAATTCGCGAATTGGGACAACTCCCCAGCACCCCCGAGCCCAGCACCTGCCAGGACCCCCAAGCCCTTGATCCGCATCCCCCAGGATGAAGTCCCCGTCGACGAAACATGGTCGATTCCAGTACCCAAGGTATCTCGCTCCAGCACCCCGGAACCGGCTCCCACGCCGCTCCGAGTCTTGTTCATCTCCGCTCCAGCCTTCCGGGTCGCAGCAAGGCATGACCAGGTCTTTGTCGCCTACGCCAACCCTGCGAAACCCGATCTCCCGGCCTCGCCTAGCCCCAGTAACCCCCCGACACTCGAGAAAGACATCAAAGACTTCCTGCCCCCTGAGTATCAAGACTTCGCCGACGTTTTCGAAAAGAGAAATGCTGACACTCTCCCCGAGCACCGGCCCTACGACTGTCCAATCGATCTGGAAGAAGGCAAGCAGCCACCTTTCGGCCCGATCTACAGCCTCAGCGAACCAGAAATGAAGGCACTCTGCGAATACCTCGAAGAAACCCTCGCCAAAGGATTCATCAAACCCTCAAAGTCCCCTGCCGGTGCGCCAGTCTTATTCGTGAAGAAAAAGGACAGTTCTCTCCGCCTCTGCGTGGATTATCGAGGCCTGAACAGCATCACGGTGAAGAATCGCTACCCCCTGCCCCTGATCAACGGTATCATGGATCGTTTGCGCGGCGCCCGCCGTCTCACCAAGATCGACCTCTGCGGCGCTTATAACCTCTTACGCATGCGCCCGGGCGATGAATGGAAGACCGCCTTCCGCTGCCGCTACGGCCTATTCGAATACAATGTCATGCCCTTTGGACTCAGCAATGCTCCTGGCGTCTTCCAGTACCTGATGAACGACATCTTCTGCGACATTCTCGATGTGTTTGTTGTCGTCTACCTCGACAATATCCTGATATTCTCCAAGAACCCCGAAGATCACCCCAAACATGTCCGCGAAGTCTTGTCCCGCCTCCGACAGCATGGGTTGTACGCCAAACCAGAGAAGTGCGAATTCAACCGCGAATCTGTTGAGTTCCTAGGCTTCATCATCTCCGAGAAAGGCATCCAGATGGACCCCAAGAAGATCGCTGCCATCACGGATTGGGAACCTTCCAAGACTGTCAAAGGCGTCCAGCGGTTCCTCGGCTTTGCCAACTTCTATCGCCGATTCATCCAAGGTTATTCCAAGATCGCTACCCCGCTCACAGCCCTGACCCGGAAAGACATCTCGTAAGCCTGGACACCCGCCGCAAACACCGCCTTCGAGAACCTGAAGAAAGCATTCACCACCGCCCCCATCCTTGCTCACCCTGACCCAGAGAAGCCCTTCGTCGTCGAAACTGACGCCTCCGACTTCGCTCTTGGCGCAGTTCTCCTCCAACCTGACCAGGACAATCAGCTCCACCCCGTGGCCTTCCACTCTTGCAAATTCACGGCCGAAGAGATCAACTACGAGATTTACGACAAGGAACTTCTGGCCATCCAAGACTCCTTTGCCCAGTGGCGACACCATCTCATTGGCGCCTGTCACAAGATCACCGTTTACTCCGACCATAAAAACCTTCAGTACTTCATGACCACCCGCACCCTGAACCGCCGCCAAGCCCGCTGGTCGATATTCTTCTCGGATTTCGACTTTGTCATTACCCATCGCCCCGGTTCCCAGCAGCACCAAGCCGATGCCCTCTCCCGACGCTCCGAACATGAGCTAAAAAAGGGGGAAGAAGCGTTCCGCTCCCAGGCAACCACAATTTTGACTCCCGAACGCCTTCGCCTCGCCGCGGCCTACCTCACACCCATGGATACCACGCTGCTTGACAAGATTAAGGCCGCCCAGGCCTCTGATCCCCTCGCTAAGACCATTCGCGAAAAGCTCAAGATACCCCTCGCCCAACGAACCGAGGAAACCCAAGATCGTATCAAGCGGTTCTCAGATGAAGATGGGATCCTGCTGCACGATAACCTGGTCTATGTCCCCACCAACGAGCTCCGAGCTGAAGTCTGCCACGACATGCACGATACACCCCTAGCCGGCCACTTTGGGATGTCCAAGACGCTTGAACTCGCCTCCCGCAACTACTGGTGGCCCAGCCATTGGCGCTTCGTCAAGGCCTACGTCAAGTCCTGCGATACCTGTAGCCAAGCGAAATCCAGTCGACACAAACCATATGGCCTACTCCAGCCCAACAGTATCCCTACCCGCCCTTGGGGATCTTGGTCGCTGGACTTTATCACCGGTCTGCCTCCCGTGGACGGGTACGACTCCATCCTGAACGTCAACTGTCGCCTCACCAAGATGGCCCACTTCATCGCCTGCAGCGAGTCAGAATCCGCCGATTCCACCGCCGACCTAGTCTTCCACAACATCATC